ATAATAATAATAATAATAATAATAATAATAATAATAATAATAATAATAATGCCTCCTGTGGTCATGGCCTGCGACTCCTCCCGGTGTGGACGACCCCAGTTGGTAGCGTTTTCCGCGAGCCTCAGTGCCATGTCATGTCTCCCTACAGTCAGTGGTGGGAGTGTGTGTGCTTGAGTGTGTGTCTGTGTGCATTTACATGCGTAGCCATATGTGTATGTGTATACATGGAGGGTGGGGGGACGGGTTTTCTTATCTTTTTTTTCTTTCTTTGATGATGTTTTTAATCCTGTAAAGCACTTTGCGTTGTTCCATGTGTGACAAGTGTGATATAAAGTTTGATTTGATTTGATATTCCTAGTAATTAAAGCCAAGTTACTTAGTGTTGAAAGGGTTAAAACCCATTTTCCACAGAAACACTTGCCAGATGACTGCCTCGAGGTGTTCACAGTGAGCTCTGAAGAGTTCGTTAACAGAAATCGTCTGAATCCAGAGGACACTGGTAGGTGAAGTCTCCACATGTGAACACTTTGTAGGTAACAGAGAGCGTATAGCTCAAATACATGTTTTATTTTATTAGACTTTAACTATTTCAATTTAAGCAAGACTGACTAACGAACTGCATTTTGTGACAGAAATACCAAAACTGCAGAATTTTTTGGGAGAGCTCAATGACTGTCACTCAGAGACACTAAACTATGTGTCTGGAGCTTTTGGGATTCTCTCTTTGATGCGAGCAGCCAACTCTACAGAAGGGGTAAGAACGAGTAATAAAACCTCATTCATTGGCCTCAGTTGTTCTAACTGCCATTTATATTTACAGAAAATAATAATGTTAATCACAAATAAATATGTTTCAGTCCACATAAGTTGCACTGAAATAGTGTCAGTAAAGACATCCAGAGTCAGATGTCTGACGGTGTTGATCTTTACCTCAGAGAGGCTGCATAACTTCAGTAATTCAAGGATTCTCGTATACAAGAGAAGCAGAATTTCATGAACACAGAAAGATGCTGTCAGTCAGGTAATATGTATGAATGCTTTTTAATTTCAGGCTGGCAAAAAACCAGAAGTGTGCAGAATGCTTGAAGCAAACCTGAAGCGTGAACTCATCAAAGTCAGCAAACCCATGGCAGAGGCTTACAACAAGTTTGAAAAGTGCCTC